GGCCTGTGTTGCCCCAGAATTGCTGTGTGGGAGGGGTACAGTGAAGCACTAAGGGTGGAAGGGGAAGGGAGGACCTGGGGAGCAGGCGGGGACAGTCCCACTTACATTGGTACCACTTTGCTGTTCTGGAGAAAAGCCCGCACATCCAGCTTCCCCAGTCTGTAGGCCACCTAGGGAGTGGGTGGGGGAGTGGGAATGAGGCCCTGTCCAAAGAGGAGACCCTTCCCACTTGAATGCATTTGTTTATCCATGTCTGGCTCTTTCTTTGCACATGAGTGCCAGGACCTACAGAATGTTTCTCATCCATTTCTACATCCCTAAACCCCAGCCTAGCCTGGTAACTGGAATGGGTCCCTGCTTAATAAAATTCTGTTTGTGAAGGGCACCTGCGTGGCTCAATCAGTTAAGCATCTGACTCTTGATCTCAGCTCAGCTCTTATGGTTCATGAGTTCAAGCCCCACCTTGGGCCCTGCACTGACAGTGCGGAGCCTGCTTGGGATTCTCTCTCTCCATCTCTGCCCCACCTCTGCTCTCTTGCACACCCACTCGTGCTTGCTCTCTCTCAAAAATAAACAAGTAAATATTAAAAGTTTGTTGGTGAGTGAAGGCATACCTCCCTGCCTCCAACAACAAGGGGAGAATCTGGAATGAATGACTCATGCCTCGCCTCTCTTCCATGACTCACCCAATCATTCTCTCCCCACATGTATATTGAACATTGATTATGTTTAGCCAGACCTAGGGGATGGTCAGGTGCTGGGGACTTCAAGCTGACTCAGGAACAGTCTATACTCAGACCCATAGTCTGGTGAAGTGAATAAGCATGAACAGATTTTACCATTCAGAGTGTGGAATGCTGTAGTAGTAGCAATCATGATAATAATTATTATAATTTCTTGAACACTTGTGTTTTAGGCACTGCAGTAAGTGCTTTACATACATTATCATTTAAAACTTGACACAACCCATTGACATAGGTACTATTGTTATTTCTGTGTTACAGATGAGACATCAAATAATTTGTCTAATTGTTACACCTGCTTGAGGGAATGGTAGAGCCAGGATTTTAACCTGGGTATGTAGGATTATAGAGCCTCAGTAATTCAACTACTGTGGTACTCTGTCTGTGGTTGAGGAATGGACAAGGGCATAGGAACGAAGAAGAGGGAGCTGCCAGTTCCCTCTGGGAAGTCAAGGAAGGCTTCCTGGAGGTGAAATGCCAGACCAAGTGCAGGTCTTTAGGGATACTCAGAAGGAGGGGCTGGGGTGACTTGACCACCCTAGACAATGTTCATTGTGGTCTGGTTATTCCAGTCCCCTCGGAGGTCTCTGTCTGGGGGATTCCTGCCTTCCTCATTCGCTGCTTTCCCTGGGGCAGGAGGCTCCAGCCTCTTCTGGCAACTGAATCTAGATGGATGATGAGATGTAGAACATATAAGTGATGGCCAAGACCCTACCCTAAACCTGCCGAGACCCACCTCCCCACCCAGAGCTGGCCTGCAGCACTGACCGAGGCATTGACATCTGTCATGGTGGCATTTTCTCCTTCCCTGAGTGAGAGCTGGATGATTCTTATAGGAAGATCTGGAGATGGGAGAAGCAGATTCACAATCACCTCACAGTTTACACAGACTTACCCAAGAAGTTTTTTGGGCCATCTCAGGGAGACTGTCCCATTCGACAGTGACAGAAGGTCACCAGAGGAGTCAGAAGGGACTGATTCTGCTGAGCCTCACCCTAGTGCCCATTCCACTATGGTCAGGGCTTCCTGACTCTCATCTCTCTGGGCCATGAAGTCACCTCCAGTCTTTCCTCAGCAGACTGCTCAGGCCTGGGGTTCATGCTGTGGCAGCTACCCCTTGCCCCCGCTCCCCCCGCAGCTCCCATAGCCACCAACCTACCACCACCTGAGAGAGATTGGAGTTCTTCCCTGTTGAGTTTGAGGAATGAAGCTCTGGTCCCCAGAGTTCCCCATCTTCCCCCAAGGTGAGAGAAATGTGAAGGCAGAGGGCAGCTGTTGGTACCTTGATGGATGGTTGGAGTGAAATTGTTCCCAGCCACAAAGCAGCGGGTGTCAGTGAAGGCTGGGGGACAGGTGCAGGTGGGATGGCAGTCTGGCGTCTGGGAGATGTAGCAGTGGCCCTGGTTGTAGCAGTAATTCACAGGGCAGGACACGTTCTGACAGAGGGGAGAGTTCTCCAGAGCTGCAGAAGAAGGAGGGAGGACAGCAGCATCAGGCTGGGCAGCCGTGAGGAGCCCTGGCCCACAGAAAGCTGCTCCTAGGACAGGCTTGCTTTCCTTCCCCCAAAGCCCATTCAGTCTGCATTTTGCTTATGAGTCACTCTGAGCCTCAAACTATCCTTCTCCCTTTTCCAGATATTTCTCTGCTGGGCAACCCTTTTTCCTTTGCCAGGTAGGTGTTCTCCCACTTCTGCTGAGGGAATGGCATGTTTGTCAGACCCCCTGCATCAGGAAAGGACCCAGAAGGCTGGCCAGAGAAGAGCACGCCAGCCTGGTTTCCTTACTTCCATCCCTTTGTCTGCCTTATAAAGCTGTGGCTCTGCCTGCTCTGGCCATTCCTCAGAAGACACAGTGGCCTCTACATTTCATTTGGGTGCTGTAGGGACTTAGTGAAGGCCTCACTGTGATCTCCCTCATCATGACTTCACTGGAGCCTTGGCTTGCGGGCTGCTGCTGGACATCTCCTCCCTTCCCCAGGCCTTCTTCAGTCTTTTGCCCTGGGTTTCCCCCATCAGGGCCTCAGGTCTGCTCTGCCCTGGTCATCCTTCCCCCTGCCTGCACAGTCTCTTCTCCTGCAGCTTCACACCTCACCATATGTCTTCACTTCCTTACTGTACCCACTTATAGTGAGCATTCTAAAGACTTGCTGGAAAAGGGGGAGAAATGGTTTGCCTTAGGCCTTCAAGGTGTCGACTGTGCTCAGGCCCTCCTCCTGCCAGGGCCCTGCTCCCGGCTCACCTGCACAATGACGCCCATCCCCAGTCAGGTTTTGGGGGCAGGCCTCGCAGCCCTCCCCAGGAATGCACTTTACATTCGGGAAGCATGGCTCCTCACAGGGGTCCCTGGAGCGTTTGCAGTAGGGGCCAAAGCTGTTCCCATCACACTTGCAGCCGGCCACCTGTAATGGGTTGCTGATCACCAGGGAGCCAGGAGGCTGAACCATTAAAGGCTTTTGGGTGTTTCTGTACTGACCTCTCTGGTCTGAGAACCTGTGGACCTTGAGTCCTTGTCTTAACTCTACCAGCATCTACTGAGCACCTTTGTGACTAGGTCGTGGTCCTGTACATCCTTGCCAAGGCCGCTGGGCCTCCCTGGAGCATTCTTTCCCCTGGCTTGAGATTGGTGTTGGCTCTACTCACCTACCACAGCTCCCAACACACACACATTACCACACAGGGACTGAAGTATGACATCCCTTCAGTTCCCACCGCCTTTCCCCTCAATAAGGAAACCCCCCTCCCATCCTCCTCCCAATACTCACCTCCAGGGAGGAATTGCCCACCCAGCTGGTCTGGTTGTATAAACACTGGCTCTCTTCCCTGCAGGCACAGACCACTGTCTTTGGCTGGAGTACAGATGACAAGTTGACTTTGGCATTTCTTGCTAGAATCTCCAGAGTGAATGGTTCCAACAACTTTGGTGTCCATAGCAATGTCCCATTCTCTGCCCCAGGAAAAACAAGACCATGAGAGCTGGGGGCCTTGACTGCTGTGCTGACTGACACATCCTGGAATCTAATACCCTGAGTGCTGATGCTAGCCTTCCCCCACCTCTCTCAGATCACCCCTCAAATGTCATCAGGCATTTCTTTGAACAAGGCTGGTTTCTTACGGTGATCCTGGTCACACCCCAAGCTGGAGGTAGCATGAGCCCCGCTAACTGACTGTTGGGTGGAACTCCACAGAAGGGAAGGCAGCTGATCCCTGAAGAGACCCCAAAGGGCAACCCCTGCCTGGGCCTGCAGGAGGATGGGACATCTAGGAGGGAAGAGAATAAGACCAGGATGACGCTTCCCCAGGCTATACTGCAGACTAAACTGGCTGCCCCTTCACATCCCTTGCCCTGATTTCTTGCCCACTCCCTCACTTCTTGGACCTTTAACTTTCAGACACCAGACAACAGTGAAACATTGTCAACAAGTACTCTTCTGATCAAAACCTGTCTTCTGTTTTCCAAGAAAATAAGAAAGTCTTCATAAAGTAGTAGGTTGAGAGTTATTGATAGTAGGGAGCAGATGAGAGTAACTTGCAGGTTTTCACTCCTCAGGAGAGGAGCCCAGTGGAGGAGAAAATCTCCTGATGCCATTGGCTAGCACCTGACAGAATGCCACATGGAGCCAAAGGGTGTAGACAAAGAAGTCCCTTCTTATGCATAGAGAAAGAAAACGAGGCAGAGAGGTGCTCTGAGCTCAAAATAAGGTCCCTAATAGATTTGGTTTAGCAAAGAACAGTCACTAGCATCACTGGTACTGGCAACAGAAGGCAATTGCATCCTGTGGGCTTTGACTTTTTGACCCAGATCATGGTTGCAGGACTGGGCATCTCCACACCATTACTGACAGAGATGCGGCTTTGCTTGCTCCCAGCAGAGAAAAGCCACAAGCAGAGACAAAGTTAGGTAAACGTGGTTGACAAACATAAAAATAAGTGAGAAACATACCAAAAGAAGATATTTGTATCTTTAAATCATGTTCCACATTATATCATTCTTTTAATAGATTTGAAATGTTTTAAATTAGTATTTTTTAATGGTTATACTTTTTTTCTAATAATTTGGTGATTTTATAAAGATGGTTAAAGATGATTGCATGTTCTTGGATTTGAGGTGACATGACTTTTGAGTCACTTGGATGTACCCCGAGTTAGTGCAGCTAGCTGGCCAGATTGCCAAAAGCCCATCACTGCTCTTCACTGGGGACACTATCTGAATCTTAGGGATCACTCCAAGAAATGCTAGTCCTGGATATTCTGATGGAAAAGTGGAATGAAGTTGCACAGGGTATAATAATGCAAAATTACCTAAAGCTTGACTCTGCTCTCATCCCTTACACCTGCAGCCAACCGTTCTTACCAAAGAGCTTGAAGTCAGTGTTGCTGTTTCTTAGGGTGAATATGACATTCTCAGAACCGCTGGTGTACTGAGTCAGCTTGGTCTGCCCCAGATAGGCTTCCACCACATGCTCACCCTTGATAGAAGGTGGGTACTTACCTGAAACACAAAGAAGGAATTCAGGGTTTGGGGCAGGACACTTTCTTGCCTCATGGGCAAGTCCTCTGGCTTGTGTGAAGCATTCCCAGGGCTGTGACCCACCTCTGGAAGCAGGAATGACTCTGTGTACCTGCTTTCAGGTCTATCTAGAGCAGGTTGGGGTTGTACTGCCCACCTGGCCAAATCCTTATTTTCTCTTTATCTTCTCTCCACACAGGATTCAGGTCAAGTTCTTTCCTGATCAGAATGCTATGCTGGGCATGGTACACAATGAATCAGAGAACAGGGTTGTTCAGATCATCACAGAGTTTTACCTTTGGAAGAGGGCTGAAAACCAAGAGGGTAATCTCTAGATGGGCATTGCATTTGTCAGGAAATAGAGGAAAATGCTTTCTCACTGGATGGAGTGCCGGGGTGGCTCAGTCAGTTAAGCATCCAACTCGATTTCTGCTCAGGTTATGATCTCGAAGTTCATGAGTTTGAGCCCCACGTTGGGCTCTACACTGACAGTGTAGAGCCTGCTTGGGTTTCTATCTCTCCCTCTCTCTCTGCCTCTGTCCTACTCTCTCTCTCTCTCTTAAAGTAAATAAACTTAAAAAAAACCTTTTCACTGATACCTGTCTTTTGGAACCCTGCTGTTTCCATTTTATTGTTCATTCACTCATTCATTCACTCATTCAGTCATTTAAGACATATTTATTGAGTGCCTAACCTATGACTGACACTATTCCATGTAGTGAGGACACAGCAATAAACAAATAATCAAAAAGATATCTATGCAAATTAGAAAATATGCTAGATAGTTATAAATGCTAGGGTGAAAAAAAAAGAAAAAGCAGGAAAGGTGAATGGGAAGTATGGGTAAATGTGAAATTTTAGACAGGCTAGCCAAGAAAGGCACTGCTGAGAAGGCGACTCTATTTGCACAGAGCCTTGAAGGAGGTGAGAGGCTGTCCGGAGGAAGGGCAGGGAGTCCAGGCAGAGAACAGTAGGTGTGGAGTCTGGAGCTGGCGGTGAGCCTGGTGTGTTTGAAGAAGACAGAGAAGCCAGTGTGTCTGGAGTGGAGAGTGCAAGGTGGGGAGGAACAGAGGAAGAGTTTGAGAGGCCCGAGGGTCAGGTTGGAAAGGGCTGTGAAGGCCGTCATGGAGTGAGCTGGGGAGTCACGGGAGGCTGAGCAGAGGAATAACATGAACAAAAGAATCTGTTACATTTGAAAAACACGTAGCCTAAAGGAATATCATGAAAGGGGGGTGCTCCACATCTGCCACCCAAGTCTGGGCCTCATGCCACTTACTGAGGGTGGCGTTCATCAGCTGGTATCTGCTAAAGAGCATCTTAGTGTTCAGGCCGGTGCTTGTGTTTCCTGTGGCCAGGCTATCATAAATGCACTGCTCATCTCCATTACACTCAGAGACCAGATTTTCACCCGAGTGGTTGTTCTTCAGTTGGAAAAGGAAGACAGGGGTGAAGTTGGAAGGCAGAGGGTTGTCTCTCTTGCCAAGGAGTCTCGTATCATTGATTTTCCCTAGAACATATCAAGTACAATGGTAGTGGTACCAGGGATGGGATTCCAGCTATACTTCTGCTGTGTCCACCCCTTACCCTCACTTTATATGCCTTGGGGTGAGGGAGGGGGTGTGAAGGGACAAAGTGACTTCAGCTTTTGAGGCTGGAAATCCCTGCTCTAGTGAGTAAGGGCCACCACTTCCCTCGCCTTCTCTTCCAGATAGAGAAATGCAGGGGGGGATGGGGGTGGAGGGGACAAATCCGGGGTGGCCCCAGAATCCTCAGCACTTCCTCCTGGCCTTTCCATCCCTCCCTCACAAAGGATGGAGGTCTGGCTCCCACAGGCCCGAGGGAGACAATGCTTCCTTCATCCCACCCCAGCCACATCTACCCCGAGGACTCAGGCCCAGACTCACAGGTCATTCCAAATTGATAAAGCTGCCACTCATCGCTTTTGTTGAGAATGGTGGAGCCATTGGGCATCCTGAAGTCATCATCTGGATTGTTGTTCCAGACTCCTGAGGGACAGAGTAGGAGATTGGCCACCCTGGAACTGTGGCTCTCCCCTTCCCTGAGGAGCGTCCAACAGGTCACATTCAAGGTGTGAGGGGGAGTAGGGGCCTGGGAAGCCCCTTCCAGTTGTGTCTGTTCTCGGTTCAGTCCTTCCAGAGGAGGGGAGAGGACCAGACCTCATAGCCCACCCCTCAGTCTCAGGGATAGAGGAGGAGAAAATGGAGGAAGAAGGGAAAGGAAGTAGGGGCTGGAGGGAGAGGAAGGGCATCCTCAAACCCCCCTTGGCTGCCCTAGAACAAGAGCTTTGGAAGAACAAGAAATGAGCCTCAAAGGAAGCTGAAGAGGTCCCTTGCCCCTCCCCACCTCTCTGTGCCCTCAGGGTTCTGTTCCAAGGAGGCTGAGAAAGGGAAGCTCAGCCTGGGGTGTCCACAGGCCAGCTGGACGGGGAGCTGCCTGTGGGCTGGGGCCCATGCTCTTGATGCCACTGCTGCTGCCACTGCCTCAAAGGCAGAGTCCTGTCTGCTTCTCACCCAGGAGGCCCTCTGTGCTGTTTCGATACTCCTCTGGGAGGCTGCAGGAGGCATGGAGGATGTTGGAAAGGGCGGTCACGGAGATGGTCACGGTCCCATCGAAGCTGGCTGACACGAGGGAGCCATTGCGGGTCATTACAATGCCGGTGGTGTTGAATGTCTCCTGGCCTGGGATGTTGAGAGACAGATGAGAAAGAAACCGGCTTTCAAACCCTGCAGACCCAAGACTTGGCAGTAGTGAAGGGTCAAGATGTTGAGGGGGAGACTCTGAGAGCAGCTCTGGGGTGTCCTGGGAGTGCCTTTTCCAGGGGCTGAAAGCCACACTCACAGGACACCCCCTTCTTCCTGGAGACTGGAGACAGGGACTACTACAGACAAGCCATCACTGCAGAGGAGGGACAGAAGTGAGAAGAGAAAGCGGTGAAGAAGCTGTTCAGGCACAGCTGCTGAAAGAACAGGGGGTGAAGCAGGGGTGCCAACCCATCTCCACTGCCCCAGTGCTGCTGTCTCTACATGGCGTCCAGGCCCTGGGTGCCCTGCTAAAGCCTGACCCGGGGAAGCAGGACCAGGTGGCTGACAGCTGTCCCCAGCCTACCTTCTGGGTCTTCACGGTTAGTCTCAAATATCACAGTCTGGTTATCGACCTGCACATGGATTGTGTCATTCGGCTTGAGGAGCCATCGAACCTGGAAGGAAATTGGGGGAGGCCTAAGCCTGAGGTGGGCCAAGAAGCTGAGAAAGGAGGCTTCAGAGAATCTGGACCTGAGCCCCAGAGGAACATGTAGGTGGGTGTGATGATGAGGTTATGTAGCTAACATCTTGGGAGTGCTTAGCCCAGGCCAGCCTCTGAGGCCAGATTATCTCATTTAAATCGCACAACAGCCCTGCAGGGTAGGTAGTATTATCCTCATTTTACTACAATAAAACCAAGGCACTGGAAGTTCAGTTGTTTCTTCAGAATCACATGGCTGGTGGAGCCAGGACCCAAATCCCACTGTCTCTGGGGTTGAGTCTCGAACCACTACCCTGGCAGGATGCATCCTCCCTCCCTGCTGCCCTGTTCCCTTCTTCCTTCTTTCTCTTCTCCTCGGCACCCCTGCCTCACTCACTGTGATGGGGTTCAGGCTGCTGGTGTTGTATTTAGCTGCAAAGGCAATGAAGTTGGTGGCCTGGGCTGAGCTGGTCTGGGCAGTGCGGCCCTGCAGCAGGAAGGAGGAGTTTCTGTCCCAGGCCCGGACCAGCAGGAAGTCCCCCAGTCCATTGAAGGTGTAACTGGCACCATCCAAGGTGGTGATGTGGGGATCCCCAAACATCCAGGCTGAAAAAAGGAGAGACCACACTGACATGGCAGACCAGGGAAGGGTCTGAGATCCCCACCGCCTCCAGGCAGACTCAAGCCTGGGAGGGGTTCACTGAGTGTAGAACCATTCCCGGAAGCCCTCTTGCACTTTTGTGCCCCTACCCAAATTCACATAGACCCATTACCTCCGCCCCCTACCTTCTCACCCCTTCCCCAATGCCAGGTACAAAGCTCCTCTGTTTGCCATTGGCCGCACACTTGAACCATCTGCATCTTCCCTTGTGGCCACAACCCATCCTTGGGAAGCTAGCACTGCCCTGGTCCAGGCCCCAAGAAGCTATGCCTCCCCAGATCCTCTGCCTCAGCCCTGCCCCAAGGCAGGCCCCAGCAGCCTCACCAGGCCTTGGGGGACGGTACCCAGCACAGCCGATGCGGGGCCGCCTCTGCTGGTACAGGGCGCAGAAGGAGGGCTTGTCGTTCCCACGGCAGCACCAGTCCCATGGCTCCAGTTCTTGGTCTGGGGAGAAGAGCAGCATATTGCTGACAGACAGGGGACCTGCAGAGCCCAGCCGGAAGGTTTGGTAGGGCAGGATGACATGGGCAGCAAGGGCATGGTTTGGGAATCAGGCACACCTCAGGTCAGATCCTGACCCACTCAGTAGCCTCAGGTCATTGACCAGTTACCGTCTCCCTTGCAGGCTTGCTGGAACTGTGTTAACGAGCTTTCTTTCTGAGTCCCCGGGCTCAGAAAGTGCAAGAGTGGGATCATGTGGCTGATGGTCTGGGGGTCATGGAGGCTGCTGTGTTGTCAGGGGCAGGGGGGTGGAAGGGGGAGGATGCACAATACCCTGGTCCTCCAACCCTGTGCTCTCTAGCTCCTTTGGAGGGTCTCTGCAGGAGATGACTCCATGTCTTCCCCAAGACTGCCAGCTAATCTGGGTCCAGAGGGACAGGGCCAGACTTGATCCCCTCCCCTTCCCTAGAAAGATGCCTCCATTCTTGTCTGGGGCAATGGGGCCAAGTGAAGATGGGACAAGAGGCACTCAATTATAAATCCCTAGGATGTCAGCTGGAAGGGATGTTGGAAGCTTCCCAACATTACAAGATCAGGAAATCAATGGCCAGAGAGGGGAAGGAGCTGGGAGGGAAGGGGGACAAAAGACTTCTTTCTCTGGGTCCCACTGCTTGGCTTGGTGCCCAGGCCTGGTCTCTAACAGAGAAGAGGAGAGAGCTCCAGAGAAGGTGGGGGTAAGATCTCTGTGGGACACACGTACCAAACTGCCAAGGAGTGCTCACTGTCCAGCCCTGGAGAAGCTCTCCCCAGGGCCCATAGCTGCAGCACACGCCTCCACGCCAGGAAGAAACACGGCACAGCTGCCTGCTGCCGAGGCCCCACCAGCCTGTGACAAGTGCAGACATACTCAGGCCCAGTGCCTGTGGTGGGGGCAGGGATGCAGGGGGGAGGCTCGGGGAGGGACCCTGGAAGGGACAGGTCAGGTATGACCAGAGGGTTGGTGGGTGGGCTTATGGGAGACAGTGGGTGTGCCCCAAAAGACAGGAAGGAGGTATTACCTATGCTGATGGGCTGGAATCGTAAGTCCCACAGTCCCTGCTGCCAGGAGCAAGGGCAGGACACCTGGTTCCAGCCCCATTGGGGCCACTGGGGCTGTCTGTTCAACCACTGCAGGCACCTGAGACGGTAGTTGGGCCTTTCTTCCCTGTGTAGCCTATAGACTTGCAGGCCCTGAAGACCTAGAGAAGTACAGGAAAAAGGGGTTATCCCAGCACCTAGGGCCACGAGCTCTGCTTTAGCAACCCAACTCATAACTGCACCTTGTATGCCCCTCCCCCACTCTGGATGGCTCTTCCAGGGACGGGACCCAGTTCAGATTGGCCTCTTTCATGTGACCTCCAAAAACCATTAAAGCTTGAATGTTAGGGGAGAAACCCTAGGACAAGTGCTGGGCAGGGAGGCCCACACCCACTCAGAGCCAGACCCTAGCCCTGACCTTCAGTCCACTGATCCTCTACCCTCCCATCTGCCACTCTAAGCTCCAACACCTTCCAATCTCCCCAGACCAGTTTCTCCTCATGCATCCTCTACCTCACTAAGTGACACCACCAGCCACCAGCTCAGACACCTGGCTTTCCCAGACCCTCCCTCTCCCCCTGCGCAGACATGTCAGTGGCCAAAATAGCCAGGACAGAAGGCAGCTGGGGAGCCACAGAGAAGTTGATATGCAAAGCAGGGGCTTACTCCAGCACCATGAGGCTGAGGAGGCTTCCACTGTGCCCAGATGCCATCCTCGGAAAGGAGAAGTAGCTGGGAGAAGAAACCTTGACAGGGGTTTGAATTTAAATTGACCTTTAACTGTAAGTTACATACTGTCCACTGCAATAGCCATGAGTGAGAAGGGGTTCCAGGATCCAGTAAGACACAACAGGACATAATGTATTAGATTTTGACCCTGTTCCCACATAAAAGAAGAAATTATCAAGATAACTACAATTTGTTAAGGTTTTGAAGAAAATAATTATTGTTTATGATTTTCTATTCATGGATCTTCTCCACGATGGCCTGATATCATGGGAAACAAATCAGATACTCCCTCTAACACACACAAACACACACACACACACACACACACACACACACACACACACACACACACACACACACACACACACACACACACACACACACACACACACACACACAAGGTCTCAAGTGGATGCATCTTGATAGGAGGGCCCGAATCTCCACAAGATGGCACCCATGATTCCACTTAGCTTCTGTTTACCACAAGTTTGCCACAGAACAAATGGAAGTAGATTTATACTTCATAATCTACATGGCTGACTTCTAATGCTAAAATGTCCTTCATTCTACTCACATTTTGGAAACTATAATTTCTTTCCCTTTGGGGTCGCTGGACAGTATATCGATTCATGTCCCATGGGGACTCCTGATGCTGAAGTACTGGCCCTCTTACCAGAGTGAGAGCTATTTAAGAGCAAACATGGGGGTGCCTGGGTGGCTTAGTCGGTTAAGCGTCTGACTTTGGCTCAGGTCAGGATCTTGTGGTCCGTTAGTTCGAGCACCGCTTTGGGCTCTGGGCTGATGGCTCAGAGCCTGGAGCCTGCTTCCGATTCTGTGTCTCCCTCTCTCTCTGCCCCTCCCCCATTCATGCTCTGTCTCTCTCTGTGTCAAAAATAAATAAACGTTAAAAAAAATTAAAAAAAAGAGCAAACATAGTCTTTTTCCTTTTTTTTTCCCCTTCATATTCCTGACTCTTAGCACAGCATCCAGCACACAGTGGGTGCTCAATAAATGATGACTGAAAGAATGTCAGACCTCTAGAACTCCTCTTGGTAGATTCCCTCAAGGGATCTCATCGGGATTCTCATTCCAGCTCCGGGACAGGACACTTAGAGTATCGTCCTCAGTGCCCATTCACATCCCCACCTCCTGCCATGACCCTGTCCTCACTCCCAGGCTCTGGGCCCCACTGAGAGACCTGGGTTTGCCTCATCCCAGGGAAAAGACATATAGCTCCAATTGAGACTGTACTACATGAGGGTGCAGAAGGTACCAGCTGTGCCTTGGGTAGTGCCAAGTCCTGATTACACTTGGGGGTCAGATGATGCCGGGGACACCCTTTGGGATGGTGGAGACGCTACAGAGCTGCCTCTCTAGGACTGTCATGACACCTGGAGTTGAGGACAGAAGGACTTGAGTCCAGCTCATGTGTGGAGAAGTGGTGCTTTTACCTGAGTTGGAATTCAGGAATTGGTCTGGATGATACTTCTCCCACACTGGCTGGAATGTCAGTGGGCTGTTTTCAAAATACCCATCTCCACTGCAGGCAAAGGAAAGAATTTCAGGTCTCTGTCACTCCCAGGGTCTTTCCTCTCAGTCGGCAAGTTATACATTCATCCAGTCAGTTGGAAAGACAGTCACTGGGTCCAGCTAATTATTAGATATCAGCTTGTCAGTCAGTTATGAAGTCAGTTCATCAGTCAGCCAGCATCACTGACTCCCAGCAGCAGGCAGGAGAGGGCAGAGATGGGGGGTGAAGGGTGGGATGACCCTAATCTATTCTACATCTGGTTGCTAACTATAAGAAGTTGGTTATGAGACAGGGGTGTGAAAACAACAGAGTTCAGGCCTCCTTCTGATTAGTTTCCCTTCAACTGGGGATGGGACAGAGGGCTGTGTAGGGGACAGTACATGGTGAGGGCTAAAAGCCAGTCTCTGCATTTAGACAAGCATGGATTCAGTGCCCGATTCCAGCCCTTAGTAACATGGTTGCCATGAGCAAGTTACTTAACCTCTTGGATCTGTAGGTTTTACATTGGTAGGAAAGAGACAACAGTAGCATCCACCTCACAGTATTGTGAGGATTAAATGCTGTAACATCTGTAGATCCCTCAGAACTGAGTGAGGATCTGATGCAATGGGTGTACCACCCTTGGTGTTGAGGCTCACAGCACTGCTCCAGGAAAAGGGAAATCCTAGAGTGGAGTTTGTAGCCTCACTCTGGGTGCATGCCTCAGAGCAGTGACTCCTCACCTTGCTTCCTCTCTGACACAGGTGAGGTGAGGCATGCAGGTGTGACACATACCATGGGCTACTCAGGAGGGTGTGAAATCCCTAGCTACTTGGATAATTCCACTCTTTTCTCTTTTACAGCACATCAGAAAGCAAGTGAAAGCAATGTAATTATAGGGGCAACCCTGAACACGATCTCAGAGAATTTGCAGCAATTACCGGTAGCAAATTACACGTGACCTTCACAATTGATTGCACACACCAGCATCTGGAAATGCTGTGGTTGAGAACTGTTGCCAGAGATCGAGTCACCTTCATACAGAGGAATCCACAGCCCCATGCCCCCACTCTCTGTCTTTCCCACTGACCCCACACAAACTGTTGGTGCCTTGGGTGAGGGGCTAATTCTCAGCCCACCAGAAGTCAGGAAGGCAGATTTCAGCTTCAAATGTCTGGGTTCCAGTTCCTTCTTTGCTGCTTCCGAGCTCTGTGACTTTGGGCAATTACTGACCTATTTTTACCTCAGTTTTCTTACTTGCGGAATGGGTAACAAAGAGTATCTCCTTCATGCGGTTTTTGTGATAATCAAATGAATAGTGTAATGAATGTTGGCTGTTACTATTGGGATATTTGAGAAGTCAAGAGAGGTTGTCTAATGTCCATAGATATCAGAGAAGTCAAAGCTCTGGGAATTATTACAATGTGTGGGGACTGGGATGGGAAAGAGAATGGCCAAGTGAATGGGTATCTTTTAATTTGAAATAGCAAGAAGCAGGAGGCAGAGTAGGTGAGTCAGAAGCAAGAGTAAGGAGGCTTCATGCCTGTCCTGGGGGGTGGGGGTGGGTGCACAGCAAAATCCCTGCCCTGCACCACTTCCTATTTTCTACTCAGTGCTGACTGTCCGTGTCCTACCTGGAGAAGCCCATGAGGACTGGGTTGCCTGGGCGCTGGGTCACATCCCACTGCATACCACCACTTTGGTAGAGAAACAGGGCGTAGGACCTGCTCCCGTCTGTGGAGAGGATGGCCTGGTAGGTGTTGGTCTGGAGGTTGATTGGAGACAAACATAGGGATGCCTGTGAGAGATCTGGGGTCTCCTTCCTGATGTCCCATCTCACTCCCCACACCCCTGCCCAGGCACCCACATCATCTTTTCCTGGCCTACCCAGAGCAAGTTAGGGATGGTGTAGGGCAGCTTTCACCCTGGGTGTCAAAGCCCCTTCTATGGTGGATTTGCCTGCTTTATGACTTCTGTCCAGGGAGGGGCAATAAAGGGCTCTGGTTTAGGATCCAGTTAGAAGACTGTGTGAGAAAGCCTCAGGCCTCAGAAAGAGTAGCCATGACCCCAGAGAGCTGAGAGAGGCCTATTTAGTTTCCCTGGGATATTTTTAAGGACATTGTCCAAATGTCCCCTTAACCTAAATATTGTAGACGGATGACAGCAGGTGAGACTGGAGGTTCTCTGAAGGCAGATGCGAAGCACTGTGCTTGTACAAAGTAGGTAACCAATGAACTTGTTGAACCAATGAAGAAATGAGTGACTTTAGATCACACACAAGGACTATAAGAGCTGAGTCCCCAGAAGGAAGAGCAAGGACACTGTGTGGTGCAACCATTTCCATAGGATGGCCTTGCAGCTGAAAGCCAGAGTTGGAAGTCCAGAAAAACCTCAGTTCCAAGCCTGGTTTTGTCATTTGCCAGCTGGGTGACCTTGAGCAGGTTGCTTAACCTCTCTAACCATCATCTTCCTCATCTCTAAAATGTGGATAATAATATCAGGTTGAGCCATATAAATTGCCAACAGCTGGCAAAAATTCCATTGCCAATGTTTCAACCCAAGGAGTATTAGGTGAGTGCTCAGCAAACAGGGTGGGGGTGAAATGGTGCTATAATCAGCAATGTGTCCTTAAATCAGAGAGGAAGTTAGAAGAATGTCCCCTGCCTAGCACTCTAGGATATCTGGCTTCCAAATGGTTCTCAGGGAGCTATTCATTGGTCCACTCACCCCAAAGGTCCACTGGGCAGGATAGGCAGGGGCACTGACCCATGTGACCTTTAGGGTCCACCTGGCTTTGTAGTTCCGGATGTGTGCGAACTTTTTAATCCAAGACTCCACCTGCCAGACTAGCAGGTTGTGTTCATTATAGAGTGTCTCATATTCCTAGGAAAGGAAGGCAGAAAAGACAAGGAAATGAGGGTACCAACTGCAGGTCTTCTCATGGTTGTGATAGGGTATTCCTGAGTCTGTGTAACAGTCCTGCAGTTTCCTCTCCACCCTCATATTTAAGCATCACTCTCTGCCCACACCGAGCCCAGGCTCTGACAGCAGTAACACTTGCACACCCTCAACATAGCCCTTTGTCTATCCTTGCTGGCTGCTGAGGGATCCCGAATGCTGGAGTCTGAAAGGCTTACCTGGTAAAATATGGTTCCATGGCTGCTGGAAAAATCAGCATCATCCCAGAATGGAGCCACCAGGGCCACAGGGTCCCAGCCTGTGAAGCCTCTAAGGGGAGGATTGGGGTAGGAGAAAATCTGGTACTCTGACTCCGGGAAAATGATCTGGCCATTATCTGTGAACTGGACACAAAGGCTCTTCTGATTAGTATTCAAGGAGGGAGTCAGGAAGGAAATGTCCCAGCCTTGGGCAAGCTCCTCAGAAGTGTGACCCCCAAGTTCTGGGTAGAACTTTAGAGATGTCAACAACCTCTACAAGGTCATACATTCATCTCCCCGCCTGCTGGGAGAGCCCACTTTACATAGTTCACACTCAAATGCTCATAACCTGCAGGACACTCCTTTGTTCTAAGTCCTTCCTGACATGGTATGTTTTGCCCTGCTTCAGTGGCTGACCCCACCTATACATGGGCCCATCAGAGAATAGAGACCTCTGGGTGAATCTCCTCAGCCCCATCCTGAAGCTCCATCCACATCAGATGGGGCCAAGAGGATTGCTACTTTCACTCCCATCGCTGTGTTGCCCTATCTTAACATGTCCTGCCTCAGCTCCCCACATCCACCCCTGAACGCTGCAGGGGCCATGACTAGCATTCCAACTCTCTTCCAGAAGCTATGGGGAACTTGGACTGAGGAACCAGGAAATAATTATAGAAAATGTAAACAGCATCAAAAGGTTGTTTCCCAAGTAGAGCTTCCTACTCATAAAAAGGTCCCCTGAAAATAGTGGAGAGCTTATTGGACCCCAAGATCTCTATACTGATGTGAAGACGCTTTTGTCCATGAGGGTAGCGGGAGCCTCGCCTAGTTCCCAGTCTTCCTCAGCTGGCACTGTGACATTAAAGAATGTGAATGCAAACTGAGCCAGTGGCAGGGACACAGTAGGTGCCTAGTAGGTGTTGCTTGTTGCATTCCCCCTTCCTTTCTGCCATGGTCATTGTCACAGGCCATCTCCTAGCCCTAGAGAGAAAAGCAGGTCACATGTCCTGCCCTTTGGGCTGCAGCTGCAGACTCACATAGAGGTAATCCCGGAGAGAAGAGCCAAGAGGGAAGCCAATCTGGGGCTTGAAGAGTGGTGAGGTGAAGTCCACAGTCCTCCTGACAAACTCCTGATCTCCAACGCTTGGTCCATAGGGAAAGAGGGAAACACCTGGGCCAGTACAAAGAAGAGCAGGAAGTTCTCATGGGCCTTGACTTCTTTAGGGCTGACAGAGAGCTTCCCCAAGCTTCTCCTCCACCCAACTGGGAGCCATCAAAGACTCCTCTCTCCCCGTCGCCACTTGCATTTAACCCATCTCTTCATTTTACCCCTTCGGTGGGTACTCTCATCCATTTCCAAACAGGTCCTGCTATCAGAATACCAACAAATTATTCCTTCAAGGATTCAAAGATAAAACTCCTCCAATGTTGTGAAGATGAATAATTGAAATACCATTTTGTAGAATGAGACTTATTTCCCAAGATGGTATTTCTCTAGATAAACTGGAAGACCCCCCAGAATTTGTCCTCGGACTCCTTAGAAGTACTTGGGCTCTAGTTTGAGAAACCTTGCCCTAACTATTTCTCAAATGGCTCTCCTCCTTTCTTTCCTGGCAGTCCTCCCCTGGTTTGCTTGGAATACCGCAACAGTCTGTATACATCTTTCCTGGCCTCCTCCAAATTCATTCAATGCTCCAACCAACATAGCATCATTCAGAAATACAAATCTAGCCATGTCTTCCTTGGTCCCTCACATGGAAGCCCCATTTCTCAACACTCTTCACTTTGCTTCCAGCATCTCCAAGTGCTTTGGGATCTCCTCCCTGTGCGACACTGGGACTACTTTTCATGTTTACACCTTTATTCAAGCTGTTCAAGCCTCCTGTCTGCTTGGGACACTTCCCCTTCCCCAACTCCTATTCATTCTTTCCAGGAAGCCTCCTCTTCACCTTAAGCACACCTGAATGCCCCCTAGAGGTCTTCCATTGTGTGTCTAATACCCTGCATTTATTCCTCTAATTGCACCTATCCAGGCATCAGATCTATCTCTTACTGAACAGCATCTTAATCATTTCTCTATTTCCACCTCTTCGCCCAGTGCTATGTACAAAGCCAGCCCTCAACACCCAGCTCTGATGCTGTCTCATTGTCCCCTGTGAGAGCTCACAACCTGAGAGGGTAGTCCATGAGCAAGCAGGCTGAGACTGAGTATTCAGTTACATCACCCTTCTAAAGTGGAGATGGGGAACAGCTGGACTTCCCATGGCCCAGATGAGACAGTAGAGGTATCCACAGAACTGGCTCCCCCAGCTACCCACAAGGGTCCTCACTGGTAGATCCAATCAGGCTGCCACAACTACAGCATCTACATCTAACTCAATCCTCTCCAACCCAAGGTAGAGGGGCCCCAGGTCTACAGAATCACTTACCTTTCTTGGGCTTGATAGGGACTGGGACAGCAGTTGAGTGTTTGCTTGTAGATGTGCTGGGAATGGACGTTGTAAGGGTCTGGGAGGTTGTTGGTGGTAGTGATGTTGTTGTGCTTCTCTGGCTGCCTGTCCTCAGTGAAGTTGTGATTGCTCCTGGGCATACAGGGAGAGAAAACTGGAGTAGGTCTTATAGTCGGAAAGTAGCAGAGTCAAAGAGAGTCACAGACTTCAGGAGCTGGAAGAGACAGCTAGAAAGTCTCTTTTATGTCTTTTGGTCATAACCAAATCACTCCGTGAGCATAAACAATTGTCTACTTGGGACAGAGGGAATGGTGAGCCTGTCACTCACCACACCCCCACTCACCTCATCTTCTTGTGGACCTCTCCTCAATGCCAGCCTGGTAGTGTCAACTCACCATCTCTCTCAAGCACTCTAGGCTGAATTGAGCCAATGGGGCCACTGTAAGAGACCGAGATACTGGAATCCCCACCTACCTGGTGTCTGAGTCTTCACAATGGAGCTTGAGGATACAGTGGATGCTGGGAAAGTGCTGGTAACAGACAGAGGAGCAGAGTGCCCTGTGAATAGAGTGGTGGAGCTCCAGGTGACTGCGGGGTCAGGGGCTGATTGAGAGAATGAAGAGTCACTGGTTGAAATATAGAAACTTGATATGGTCTGAGCTGTGCCCATATTACCAGAGGAAGTAAAGTCAGAGAAAGCATAGTCTGTGGATGGCTGTAGAGTAGGCAATGGACTCTTAGAATACTTAGACACTGAAGAAGTATCAGGAGTGGTCTTGATTGAAGAATATGTTGTAGGTTGAAATGACAAAGTTGGTATGGATCCAGCAACACTGTTATGATTACTCTTAGAACTCATATACATTGGCCTTGTAGTAGGGTTAGTAGTAGAGGCTACTGTTTGAACAGTTGCAGGATGCTCAGAAATGGGTGAGCTTGACTCACCCACTGAGGAAGTTGGGACTTGCATGGTATTTGTCATGGAGTTACTGACAGAACCCATAGGGGAAATGGTCACTGCAGTCATGTTTTTATGGAGGGCTGAGCTTGGAGCTGTTCTCTGGACTTCACTTGTGACCAAAACTGTAGAAGGAGAATGAGAGGCTACATCACTCAGGGTGGTAGAGACAACAGTAGTCGGCCCTTCAGTTGCCCCAGATAACAAAGTTGGCATTGCTGTTTGGGTTCTGTGGCTGTCTCTGACTGGGTTGGAGATAAGTGTTGTGCTGGTGTCTGAAGATGACAGAGTGTGGGCAGTGGTTTTTGGTAACATGCGCACATTTGGTGTAGATGAAGGAGGTGGAGGTGTAACTGTTGAGAAGGTGTCAGTCACCTGGGAGACTGAGCTTATGGCTTCAGATCCTCTGGTGCTTCCTATAATTTGAGTCTGAGCCTTCTGGGAAACAGCTGATATTTCTTGAGAGGTGTTGGGGACAATAATGGACACCAATTCCATGGTTCCTGGAGTAGTGTCATGACTTGCTGCAGAGGACAACAATTCAGTTTTTGATTGAGTTATGTGGTTTTCCCTGGAGAAAGTTGTTGAGAAACTCTTGATCTTATCTGAGGTGGATATTCCCGGGAAAGCACTTCCTAAAGTTGTTTGGCTGCTTGCTGTAGATGAAGAAGCTGTAGCTGTGCCCACCAAGATGGTGTCTGCCAAAAAGGTGGTATCTGTTACCAAGGAGGCTGGTGTGTTGGTATGTGGTTCTCCAGTGGTCACTGTGCTTTGTGTCTGGTGGGTTTGGGAAATGGCTGATGTGTCAGGTGAAGCACTAGAAGTAGGGGATGTTGATTGTCCTCTTGGGTCTAGTGTTGTTGAAACTACAGAGCTCTGAAAAGTGGTGCTTTTAATGGAAAGTGATGTGCCTCTTAATGTTCCCGGGCTGGTGTCAGCACTGGTTGGTGATGTCCATAGTTCTGTGGTAGTGGTAGCGACCTGAGTTGTGTGGCTGTCCCTTGAGGGTGCTGGTGTGAAGGTTGTAACTTCACTTGTGGTGGGTGTATCCTGAGGAACATTTTCTGAGGGCAAATGTCCACTTGATTTGAAAGGAGAAGTTGCAGATGTGACTGTCTTGATTGTGTCTGTCATGGGGAAGATTAAACTTGTGATTTGGGATTCTTGTGTGGTCCGTGGACCTTGAGTATGACCTATCTGGGAAACAACTGATGATTCTTGAGAAGAGGTGCTGCTAGAGAGTGGTGTTGACTGCCTTGCTGGGCTTGCTGTTATAGTTTGTTGAGATGTGTGTTCACTTAGTAAGGATGAAGGAGATGCAGATGTAACTGTTTTGATGGTTTGGGTTACATTGGAGCTTCTGCTGACATGAATGTCTCCAGTGGTCCCTATGCCTTGTGTCCAGTGAGTCTTGGAAATTGCCACTGTTGTTTCCTGAGGAGATGTGCTTAGATAGGAGTGTGGGGTTGGCACTTCTTCATCTACTGTTGAGACTGTAGAGGTAACCCAAGAAATACTGCTAGCTATTGAAGAAGATGAACTTTCTGTAACCAGTATAGTGGAAGCCATTGGTGTTGAAAACAGTTCTTTTTGTGACTGAGTTGTGTGACTGCTATCACTGAAGGATGAGGAAGTGAATGTTGTTTTATCTGGAATGAATGACATTGAACTGCTGGAATGAGGCCATCCTGCTGTCTCTGTGTCTGCGTGGGTATGGAAAACTGTAGATGTTTTTGGAGCTAGAGTACTGATAGACAGTGGTGTTGGTTGTATTGCTGACTGCCATGTTGTAGAAACATTAGGAATGAATGGAGGAAAACTACGAGTTACAGGTAGGGATGTATCTCCTGAATTTTCCACAGTAGTGTCTATTGAAGTTGAGGCTGTCAATGTCTCTGATGTCATCAAAGGTGTTTTACTGTCACTGGAAGTAGGTGAAGTGATTGCTTCACCTGAAGGAGATATTGCCGGAGGAATTCTCCCTGAAAGAGTATGTCCACTGGGTAAAGATAAAAGAGCTGATGTGGTTGCTGATGTAATTTCACTGAATTCAGATTCTCTGGTGGTCTCTATGCTTGGAGTCTGGTAATTCTGGGTAGATGCTGATGTTCCTGGAGTAGATGTGCTGGAAAAGATTGCAATTGATTGTACTTCTAGTCCACTTTTCATGGGTACTGTTGAAGGGACTGGAATAACAGTTCTAGTAATAGGAGTTGATGTGTCCTTTCCATTACCTACAGTGGTATCTGTTGAGGTTGGTACTGTCAATAAAACTGATGTTGTTAGAGGTGCAATGCTGACACTAGAAGAGGATAGGGTGCTTTCTTTCCTAGAGGTGGATATCTCCTGTGAGACGATCTCTGTAAGAGTGTCTCCATTTAGGGAAGATGAAGGAGTTGAGGTGAGGAAGACTGATGTAGTGTCGGTTTGAGATTCTCTGCTGGTCTCCGTGCTCTGAGTCCTGTAGCCATGAGAAGATGCTGTCACCTCTGCAGTAGAAGTATTGCAAGAGTAGTGTGTTGTGTGTCCTTCTACTCCAGTTGTCCTTGAGAGTGTTGAGGTGACTGGAGTAAAACTTCCTATTTCAGGGTGTGTTGTATGTTTTGTGTATCCTACAGTGGTGTCTGTTGATGCTGGTGTTATGGAAACCTCTGATGTCACTGAATGTGAGTTGCTTGCATGGGAAGAGGCTGGAGTGTCATCTGTGGAGGATGTTGACAGGGGCATTTCTGAGGTTGCCGAAGGTTTGTGGCTGACGCTGGAAGGAGATGAAGTGCTTGCATTCTCAGGGGTGGATGTCTCCTGTGAG